TATGTTGACTTCATATTGTTTTGTTTTTCAGGATATGTCGGATTCCACATCTGGTAGTGGTTGTGGTAGTGGCAGTGGCAGGAGCGGAAGTGGAGGTAAAGGTAGATCTATCACTCGGTTAAAGGGGTTGACAGCAAGGAGGGTAGCTAGAGAGAAAACTCAAGTTAAAGTTGATCCACGTTCTGGTAAGGCATCTGACCCAAATGCTGCTAAGTTTAAGAGCTATTTGGGACTACTAGCTCGACACCATGTTCCGAATACTACTCCATCTTGGGATGATGTAGAGGAAACCGAGAAGAACCTCATGTGGCAGGATGTTCAGGTATTTCTATATTTGTTGAATACTTTATATATCATTATTAATTGAATTTAACATTTATTGGTCATTTCAACGCAAAATTTTGATGTTCCTAACACTGAGGTGATGAGGAAGAAAATTTTATCCTCCACTGCCATTAGATGGAGGGACTTCAAGACTTTCTTGACACGGGAGTATGTATTTGGAAAGTTTCAAGATGAATCTCCCTGTCTAAAGTATCAAATTAGTGAGGAGGATTGATTACGAGTTTTGTGCCGACCGAATGGACCCCTCTTGGCGGGATAAAAGACGTGATGCCCAACAACGTCGGAGGTTGAATGATGCACCCCATGTATTGTCACGAGGAGGGTATGCATTATTGGAGCAACATCTCATGAAAGCCGAGAGAAGAGTCGGCGAGAGTTGAGTCTACCGACCTTGCATCTCCACCCCTCGCTATGAGATGTGGAAGGCGACTGGACAAAATCGATGGACAAATGACTTCGAGTACGCACGAATCATTGCTCGGAAAATCGTAAGTTATAATGTCAATTTGAATTGATTCTAATGTGAAAGTTAGTGTATGACTTAATTAATGTTAATGTGTTGTAGGATGATTTAGTTGAGCGAGCACCCAAGGATCATTTATTCCTCATGGTCGAAAAGATATATTGGCGACAACCATAGGAAAACAGATTACTCGGGACGTGTGCGTGGTGTCTGGTGGATCCCGGGGCCTTCGTGATTACTTTGGTCCAACATCACGAAGGACCACTACCGACTCTTGCGGCCGGGAGGCCTTGCATAAAATGGAGATGCAGTTTGAAGAAAAGTTAAATCAAATAAGGCGAGTCCTTGCGGCAAGATTTTGATGAGAAAATTGAATCTCTCGCCCGTTCTCGGCAACGAGACTCAAGGAACACCTCAAACAATTGAACATGATGTTGTTCGAGTCAGCACTAAAGGGAGTTGTGTTGCTACTGCTGCTGATCCTTCAGGAGAATATACTCAGACTGATGCATCACACCAGTGTGAGTTATATGTTGAAGATGACCCCCCGCGTCTAGTGGCTATTGGTCGAGTTTTTGAGGGTGGTTTAACCATCCATGGTGTCCCTCTATAGGCAGACTGGACATGAGTAGTAGTTGATGAAGTTCATGATGCTAATGCTCCAGTGCCTTTTTCCTAATGAAGAGATTCAATTAGTGGGGCAGGCAAGCGAGACATTCTTGGCTTGGCCAAGATGTTTGGTTATGCCACTATCGGCACTGAGACCAAGGTAATATATATATATATATATATATATATATATATTGTCTATTTTCTCTTTTCTAGTATTATAATTATATAAATGTTTAATTAATTGTTATCATTTGTTTAGGAGGACTTGCGTCGTGCTAAGCATAAAAAACAACCTATTATTGATGAGGATTTGATGAGAATGTGATGATGATCCCATCTCTATGTTGTTGACCATATTACCACGGTTGAGGAAGAGACCGGTGTCGGATACAATGGGATGTTAGAGTGTTTGGAATTGACAATTCCGAGTGTTCCATTATACATTTCCTTACCCGATGCTTTAGAAATTGCTTGGAGGAAATTGCATGTTAAACATTTCCATCATACAATTGTGGGCAATGTAAGTCATTCTCATTTATGTTTCTAAGATTATAATAATTATATTCAACTTATAATTAATTGTTTTAGGTACATTGACAAATTGAGTGTGGAACAAGAAAAATCCGAAGTATACAGATTTATTGAGCCTCAATCCATCCAAAAATGTGGAAATACAAAGGTTGGAATCCAACAATATATGCAAACATGGATGAGTGACTCAAAAAGACATATATTTGGCTCCATACATTGAAGGGTTAGTATTTTAATTTGTATTTTAATTTATATTTTTGTAACTAATTTTTATGTCATACAATGTAGGTTCCATTGGCGAGTTAATTGTAATCATACCCGGGATTACACTCGTGGTGTGGTTTTGTTCATTACATCGGAAACCGAGTCAAGAAATGAAAAGCTTATTACAAGGGTAACTTTATCTTTTATTCATTAATTATGTTTTTAAATTGTAAATACATATTGAATAATATATGACTTTTTTTCACTTAGAATCGTGTATCGGAACTAATGTTCTAAGTGGAAAACCTAGAACAAAGACTTTGCAGTTCATTTATCCCAAGGTTAGAAACTTATTTATATAAGTGAATACCATAATTATTGTTTGTATTTAAATTTTGAAAATAACATTATGTTTTTTTCATCATTTCGATGTAATAAGCAAACAGACTCGTTTGAATGTTGTTACTATGTTATGTATTGGATGAGAGCCATAGTTTGTGCGGGTATAATTGATTCTTGGACTGGAGGTAATTGCTTTTAACATTAGTTAAGTTTATTTAACTTTATTCATGTTGCATGTTTACAAGAGTCAAATTAATGTTTCAGGTATTTCAAGATCCATCTCCATTACCAGAATATGATATTACACAAATTAGAGAACAATGGGCAAAATTTTTTGTTCAACAATTCTAGTACATAATTTTTTAAGTTCTTGTTCATATTATATTGTGTGTATAATGTAGTTTAGGTAACTTAGTTTGTATTAACTTTTAGTTTGTAATAGATTTTTTAGTTTGTATGTTTGTATTATATTGTTTTATTATGTAGTTTGAATTATATAATATTATATTTTTAATTTACTAGCTAAAGAAAATTGAACCTCTGGACTGTCTGGTTGTAATATATATTTGCAGGTTTTAGTTGTAAAACAGAATAAACCCAATTTAAAAAAAAAACAGCAAATTTACGTCGCATATGGTATATGCGACGTAAATTTACATCGCGTATTGGTATATGCGACGTAAATTTATGTCGCATATTGGTATATGTGACGTAAATTTACGTCGCGTATACCAATATGCGACGTAAATTTGTTGTTTTTTTTTTTAATTTCTGAAAGTTTTTACGTCTGTTTAGTGGTATATGCAACGCAAAATTACATCGGGTCTTGATAACTGACGTAAATTTACGTCGGGCTAAAGGGTCCGACGTAAATTTACATCTCCCATTTTAACGCCAGTCTTAAATACGACGTAAAAAGCCCTAAATACCTGACGTAAAAACCCTTTTTTGCACTAGTGGGTAGAATTCTAGGTGTTTTGTATTGCTTATCTGTTTATTATGATGAAACTTTTAGGTTTGTTGTAACGAAGCAAGATGAGAGAGATTTTGATATACGATGACAATTATAAATATAAACGTTATCGTATGATAATTTACGATAACAGTTAAAAATCATTGCTAATTTATTAATTTTTAATGACGCCTAAAACCACAATGGTTCAAAAATCAATATTATTGCCATTTTTTTAACCATTGTAAAAAAAGGTTATTTATAGTAGTGTATATGAATAATAAATCTTTTAAATATATTCAAATTTTAAGGAAAAATAATTTTTAGAGTATAACATCATGTTAAAAATATTTTAAGTCGTTTTCTAATTTATTGTATCAATTAAAAGTAAGTTTGTTGCGGTGTAATTTAATATTTGAAAACATGAACAAAAACTTGGGCAAATAAGGTATAAAGGAAAGATTGAGGTATTTTCTTATGTTATTGTTACTTGGGTTATCAGTATCATTTGGATCATCACGAAAATGAGAATGAATTGCGATTCAATTTTGCTATTCCTTTTCATCAAGCAGTTTCCCTTGTGATAATTAATGTGGTTACTACTTAAAGATTATCTAAGGGAGTAAATCATAACATTTTAAGGGAGTTGCTTATCCTTAACATTTTCAAATTGATATGCCCAAACCTGCGACTGATTTCATTTTGCAGGGTAATTGGCGTTCCCTAAGATTAACGTGGTCAAATTCAATATTGATGGGACTGTTAAAGGCTCTCCGGATGATCTGTGAGTGGGGGGTTATTTAGAGGTATGAGGGATGCTGGGCAGATTATTGTCTTTCTTAGGAAATCAAAATGATCTCTATGGGAAAATTTTGGTATGGTAGCTATGTATTGTATTGAGATTGCTTTTAACCAAAGTTAGAGGAAGGTTTGGATTGAAACGGGTTCTACCATGATTGTGCATGCTTTCAAAAAGGTAAATTTGATTCAATGGAAACTTAAAAGGTAGATGACTGAAGATGAAGTCCTTCAACAACAAATTTGATTCAATGCAAAATGATACATTTGAGGTATTTTGTAGCAGGGCTCCAAGATTCAAGATTTTGTTTTCTTCTCTCTCGCTTAACACTGCACATCCTTCACTTAGCGCACCTGCGGTGATTGGGCACACTCTCTTCACTTGACAAAAGCTTTCAAGATTCTACATCATCGCATTTCAAGTGCAGCTGAGTTGTCTTGGTTTCACGGTGTGGCTCAGTTCTAAGTTTGGTTCACTTAACTCAGGATCAGTTGGGACTTTTAAAGAGATTCGTAAAAGAGAAATAATATTAATAAGACATGAGCTCAACTTATATGAAAGAAAGATCCACTAATCAATATTTAAAGATTTTGATTAAGGGTCTTTCTTTTTTATATATTGTTAACTTCCTTTTTAAATGAAGTAGGACTTAGAATATTCAACAAGATCTTGGCGCTTGGTGCAAGTCGGCTTGCACTTGGCAATCCACAATGAATCCAGGTTCTTGATTCCATGGGTGTGCCTCACTCAATATGGATGGAATGCCAAGTCAAAATAATGTACAACAACTGGTACATAAATCTTATGTGCAGGCTGCGCTGCGGCGAAGGCAACATGAGAAATATCTCTCTCAACTCTCTAGCCCTTTTGTGAAAAGAGAAGAAATTGCCATTCAAATCCCAAAAGAAGAGTATGCAGCCGGGATTGCGGTGTGCAAGAACCACCTTCATGACAAAATTATCTTGGCCAAAGGTGACAAAACACTTACACTCAAGGAAATATGTGAAAAGCTAGGAGAACAATACAAATCATTGAGGAGTTGGACTGTTTTTTCGTTGGGAAAAGGTTTTAATGAATGTAGACCCCAAATCTTGTCCGACCTCAAAATATAGAGCAGAAGACTTCCGTTTGAAGATAGACAAGGTCTTAAAGATCCCTAGAATTGTTCAGTAGGTTCCATATTAGAATAGGAAGACTTTTTGTACACAAAAATAAGAAAATTCTACCCAAAAGACCGAGACTGTCGTTTCGTTTGGTGAGACCGCCGTCTCGCCGTTGGTCAAAGGCGAGATCGCCGTCTCGCCATTTGTCAAATGCAAGATCACCGTCTCGCCATTTGTCAAAGGCGAGACCACCATCTCGTTTGACGAGACCACTGTCTCACCATTTGCCAAAAGTGAGACCGCTGTCTTGTTTAGCAAGACCGTCATCTCGCCATTTGTCAAGAGTGAGACTGCCGTCTCGTTTGGCAAGACGGCGATTCCAAATGACGAGACGACGGTCCCAGTTTGATGGACACAAATTTCTATAAATGGGGGTCCTCTCCTTGTTTTCAACAACTTCTCCAATTGAATATACCCTCCGATACTCTTCTAAAATCCTTTTAAAGCATTTCGAGAGTTTTAGGGTTCTTTTTAGACATTCTAGAGTCCTTCAGGAGAAGAGTGAGCAACATTGTAGAGAGTGGGGTTTGCCAAAAAGCCCCCTTTACAAGAACATTTATAAAAGTTTGCTACGAAGGTTCCTCTATATCCCTTATTCTGTTATTATTGTTTTTATTAGTTACCATTTCTGTGCATTAGTTATTAGAGCTATGTAGTCAATAATTTAAATTTTGCAATGAATAAATAAGGGTAAAAGCGTAATTTTAATGTTCTTATTTAAAAAAAAATAACAGTCCATCATAGGGAACCCGAAAGGGGCGTCGTGGGGAAACTAATACCTTCCCCACACATAACTAACTCCCTTACCTAAATCTGGTTGTAATGACCAAAATTGGTTTTTCTTAAAAATCATCGCCTTCTTTTCCTTTTCCAATTTTTTTGGTAAAAATATTGGTGGCGACTCTAGAACCCATTTATGAAAACCTCATCCTTAGAATAGTTCAGTTATCGGACATCCTAAGGGTGATGACCACACTTTTTATAACGCAAGTCGAATCGAAAGACCATCGCGTCGCTCTGACCGCCTCTTTTGACGGCAGCAACAGATGGCGACTCTATTGGGGAAGCTAGAGACTTGATCCCATTTAGTGATGGACTAGTTTAAGAAGTAAAAACTTGAAATTACGCTTTTACTCTTTCTTGCTTTTATAACATGATTTATTGCTTGACTTTAATAACTGTTGTATGCTTATTTTATGGAATTGTTTGAAATAACAATTGTACACAAACCCTTGCACACAACAGTTCCCCCTATACCCGGGGGCAAGTGGGATAACTTTAGGGAGTGGGTGGCATTGTACGATTTGTCGTATTGAGGGCCATGAGCCCACCGATATGGTCGGAAACCACAACTCAAGGTGATAACCTTCCTCTTTTGGCCTAAAGACCGATAAGGCCCTAGTGCCATGCATGGTCTGAAGGCTGGGAGAGTGAGGACCCTATAATGGGGGCACCTTGGGGGCCTGGCCTTGGTGAGGATATTTAGAACTACCTTGAATACGCACTCTTCTGCAGGATACCACTACCTCGTGATAAAAACGTCGTCTCACTGTTCACGGATGAGTGAATTGTTTGTACATTTGTGTTGTTGCATTTGTTTGTTGCATAACATAATCATACAACAACAAAAAATCACTCAAAAACCTTTTCATAAAAAACACCCTTATCTCGGACAGTTCACATTTTAGCTAGTCTGGTTTCAGATTCTTTGTAGGCTAAGTAGCCACGTGGACCGATAGAAGAGATAAAAGATTCTAAAATCATTCGTTTATAATAAACCACTTTTATCTTGGACAGTCTGCATTTTAGCTAGCCTGGTTTTAGGTTCTTTGTAAGCAAAGTAGCCACGCAGTCCGACAGAATAGATAAAAGGTGATAAAAACCAAATAAATCAAATAATCATAATAAGCGAAAATGGGACTCTATTCATAAGCATCGAACTCATGAACATTCATATAGCTAGTTTCTCTTTCTTTTGAAAAAAGAAAAACCCAAACACTATCACGCATCACGTAGAAAATAAAACATGATAATGTTTAGGAAAAACAAACACTTACATGTATGCCTACATCAACATCATACTCATATCATGCATTTTTGTTTCTAGAAAAATGGAGGGGTCCAGTAGACAGTTAAAGAAAGTGGACATTCCCCAGTATTGTGTAGAGAAGATAGAACGTCTGTGTGCATTGATGCCACCCAAGGTCTGCTCCAATTTTGAAAAATCTTATGAACAATTTATCGACCTTTTAAAGATCTGTGTCGATCCCATCTTCATCAGGGTTTTGATCCATTTTTGGAACTCCAGTCTACACTGCTTCAAAGTATAGTGAAGATATGAGCCTTGGTCGTCCATCAAGAGGCGAAAATAAAAGAGGTTCAAAAGTACAGTGAAGATATGAGCCAGGCGGTCCACCGATAGTCTGAAGCACTCGCTCGTCGCGTACGGAAAGCTGAAGAGGAATTGCATATGAATCAAAACTCGTCTGTGGGTTTCTTTAGGCTTTTTTGTTTCTGTCAAAATGTGTTTTGTAGCATGGTATAGGGGAAATGTACACCTTTCTTTAATAAATAAAAATACCTTTTGTTTATCTTTACGACTGTCTACTGCATTCATAAGTTGCATACATTCATATCCCTCCTTCACTTCTAATTAATAAGATAATAAAAAGGAAAGATTAACTTATGTGTCTTCCACAATCAGAGAGATGGAGAGAAAATTGTTTGTAATCAAATTCTCCCCAACAACCTATCCACCCAAGAAAGACAATAAGCCTCGGTCGTTGGTCATCAAAGTCGATAAAGAAGAGGGGGCAAGGATGCATTTGCGATTATTTGTGCCTCGTCCTTTCCCCTATGATTCAAATAAAGTTGTACCGTGGAGATATGGGGAATCTTCACCAATAAAGGGGGACATCTCCAATATAGCCGGCATTGGGGGCATGACTAGAAGCGGAAGAATATACTTCCCCAAGGAGTCACAAGAAGATGCCCCCAAGAATAAAGGAAAAAATAAACAGACCGAAGAAAAGGAAAATAAAGAATCCAAGGAGGAGACTAATGAGCTGCTCCAGTTTATAAGGCAAAGCGAGTATTCCATCATTGACCAACTTAATCGCACACCCGCAAAGGTAACTTTGTTATCACTCATGATAAGTTCGGAATCGCATCAAAACGCCCTGATGAAGGTCTTGGGTGAAGCACATGTGCCTCATACGATATCCCAAGAAAAGGTCGAGAGGATCGTCAACTACATCATAGCCAGCGATCACCTCACCTTCACAGATGAAGAACTCCCTCCTGAAGGGTCAAGCCATAACAAGCCCAGAGTATCTCATCGCCAAAGTTCTTATGGATAACGGGTCATCCTTGAATGTGATGCCCAAATGCACACTCGACAAGTTAACCATTCAAGGAACCCATATGCGCTCAAGCAGCAATATCGTTTGAGCCTTCAACGGGTCCAAACGAGAAGTAGTGGGAGAAACCAATCTGCTAATCCAAATTGGTCCCACCATCTTCAACACCGATTTCCATGTGATGGATATTACTCCGGCATACAACTGTCTCCTGGGCAGACCTTAGATTCATGACGCTAAGGTAGTACCTTCAACGCTCCACCAAAAAGTCAAGTTCATAGTAGACGACAAATTGTTCACAGTCCAAGCTGAAGATGACATCCTAATAAGTGGACCATCTACCCAACCCTATGTGGATGCGGCTGAAGAGGCCCTTGAAATATCCTTTCAAGCGCTTGAAATCGTCAGTGTAGAGAGACTTCCTAGCAATATGAAGGTAGCCCGCATGATGATGAAGTATGGTTACTATCTTGGCCAAGGGCTCGGTACAAGCTCCCAAGGAATAACGGAGCCCCCGAAATTTAAGGAGAATCCCTTGAAGCATGGCCTAGGATACAACCCTACAAAGGGTCGAGCTATAAGAAGAAAAGGGAAGTCTCCCCTCCACACATTAAAGCAGATCTTTCGAAACGAAGGGATACAAGCGTCAAGAGCAACTCTAGTCATTAGGAGTTCTTTTTCCTTTCTTAAGGGATGTAAACCCAATGATTGTTAGATATTATTCCCTGGGGCTAGCCCGACCCACGGGCATCTTAAGGGCACATATTCCACTCTTAATTAATAAGAATACAGTTGTTACTATCTACTTTTCTTCTTGCTATTCATGTCTAAATCTCATAATAACCATGTTTAAGCAAACGTTTTCAAAATTGCATCAAAATAAGCAAAACGCAATAATCAAACTGATTGACTAGAAACACAGAATAAGGTTTTACCTCATCATAATAAAACCATGTTTCGCCAATGTTGTGTAAAAAGAAAAAAAAAAACATAAATCAAAAGAAGCCCATAGAAGCCAAAGGCCAAAAAAGAGGCCAAATTACCCGATAGGAAACCCACTCAGGGGGCCTACGCAAAAATTAGGGTTGACCCGCTAGGAAACCCGAACAACAATAAAAGGTAGCCTATGCAGAAGTTAGGGTTACAAAATAAGGTCCTCTAGGATTTCCAAAACAAGAAAAGAGGAAATCTAGACAAAAGTCACGACCAAAACAGAATATCCTACACTGAAAACCTAAAGGGCAGTCTGGGGAAGTCAATCAACCATAAGAAAGCAATAAGAAATCGACTAGACGCAGATCCTCAAAACAAAATGTTTGTTTAAGAATTAAGCCTAAAACACTCTGGCCAACCCTAGCCAATCATTCTTACAAAATCCCTTTCAAAAATAATAACTTTCTAAAACACAAGCCCTTGAATAAATTATCCTCTTACTTCTCTTCTCTTGACC